CCACCTCCCAAGCACTCCAAAAACAAAAATTTTATTCAATAATTCATAGATCCACAACAAATTCCATAAAGAAAATCAACAAATCCTATATTTGATGCTTTATATATTGGGTTAAATACAATCATCATTTGTAAAAAAATGCATATTATTGTTCCCAAGACTCACCTTCTTCAAGTGAAAATGGTGATCTCGGCGTCCGGGTCGTCGGCCTAGGTATCGTCGGTTGGTAGGGGTCGTTCGAGTGTAAATCACTTCGTTCTCTCCTCTCTCTCACTCTTCCAACCTTTACAAGGGTAATATTGGAAAAGTCTTTGTCTTTCCTTGTTTTTATTTTTTATTTTTTTTAACTTGGTCAACGGCTATTTTGCAAAAATAGGCTAGTCATCCGGGCATTTGCCATCATTTCCTCAGTGATGGAGGGTTTTGAACGAAGAAGGTAACAATAACGGGGACAGGTGGGGCGGACCGATGGATGATCCGGAATCGGATCCGAACATCATTCAAAATGTGTCACCAAAGTAATTTTACTGATTAATTTCAAAAGCGGTCACTAAAGTTCAACTGAAATTTCAAATTGGTCCTTAAAGTATTTATAGATCCATAATTAGTAGCTCCGTTGGCAGCGTCCAGATCCAATGTCACCCCATTAGCCGCTAATATTTAAAAACACGGTTTTTGTTTCCCTCAAAACAACAAAAATATTTTCTTTTCTAAGAAATATTTTTCATACCAATATAACAAGCTCTAAATCTAAATTGTTCATGAAAGAAATTATGCACTTTTGGTGGATCAGGAGAATAGTAAAATTTTCACAAACATGAAATAGTAAGAGCAATTGTGACGATGTCCTATTAAGAAACAAAGAGAAAAGGGATCAAGGTTTTTCAGAAAAAAGAGAGAAATTCCAACAATATATTATTGCGAATAAATCTCCCATATTTGCAATGTATGAACTAAGTTAGATGGATTAAATAGGCACCCACCAATATAACTTAATTTACAACGGCAATAAATTATTTTTCTGATCTTGTAATTTGTTTAAGAAACCCAGTCAATAGATAAAACTGACTAAAGGCCTAAGCTTCATATTTTTTTTTATATAAAAGTTCTCCATTACAGATCTGGTGACTGGTTGGGTTTGCTATGTCAAGTAGGCTCGTCGACTCAACTCGAGTCGAGCCTTGTTTTTGGGCGTTGGCCCGAGCTTGATCCTAAGCCGCCCCATGTTTTTTAGCTGCCAGCATATGCAGACAGCTAGGTAGTAGCTACCGTAGCTGCTTGCTTGCACGCCCCTTCCTGCATTATGCACTTTGTAGATGTACTAGGTGCAAGTAACGTGCAATGCACGTTTGCCTAGTTTATATTTAATAGTTTTGTTTAAGAATTAATTTGTTATTAATAAAGATGTAATTTTTTTAGTTAATTAAATAATTAATGATGTAATGTTTATGTAATTGATAAATAATTAGATGTGTGATTTTGATGTTGTGATGTAAGTTGGTGAGATCGAAGAAAATAAGCAAAAGTTGACAAATTTGGAGAAATGGCTAAAT